CAACTCTATCCCTGTCCTATTTTGAGTGCCTTCCAACCCAAGGGGCTCGCCTTCCTGCACTGTGTTGGACAATGTTTTGGAGCTATTCATAAAGTTGCCCAGTAATGTATCAGACAGTGTCTCTCTACTATCTATAAGGTTTTCCTTGGCCAAATTTTGAGAAGTGGATGGGCTCCTCCTTCTTCCTAGTCTGTCTTAGTCAGTAAGCCACGTTGAAACCTGTGCACCAGGTGCAACTCTGCTGGCATCTGAAACACCAGTGGCAGAGCCTCAGGCCTCACAGCAACATACAAGCCCCACAGGATGACAAACTGACAGACAAGTTCACCTCTCTTAGCTGTTGGAAACCTATGCACCCTCCCCTTACCTAATTCCTACCTGGAAGCTGCCACTTTGTGGTTCCGGGCTGCTTCCTTCCTTTCCTGGTTCTAGGAGACTTGGGACCTAGACTTTCCTCCCACCCCTTTTTACCTGGATATCCTGGCACTCAGGATGTCCCCAGCTTCTCCTGCTCCCTCCCTTTCCTGGCTCTAGGGGAGTGGAACCTGGCCCTGCCTTCCTCGTCTTACAGGTTGTTAATGAGTCTTCCTCCAATCCTGATGCCACATCCTTCTTCATATAATCCAGCTTTTCAGATTATTTGCTCAGTAGATTGAATAAGTATGGTGAAAGGATACAACCCTGATGCACTCCCTTCCTGATTTTAAACCACGCAGTGTGCCCTTGTTCAAATGACAGACTCCTGATCAGGTTCCTCATGAGTATGATCTATGTGCAGTGCAATCTATGTACAGATTCCTGGTGAGTACAATCAAGTGTTCTGGAATTCTTATTCTTCTCAATGTTATCCATAATTTGTTATGATCCACACAATCAAATGCTTTTGCACAGTCAATAAAACATAAGTAAACATCTTTCTGGTATTCTTTGCTTTTAGCTAAGATCCATCTGACATCAGCAATGATATCCCTTATTCCACATCCACTTCTGAATCCAGCTTGCATTTCTGGAAGTTCTCTGTCAATATACTACAGCAACAATTTCTCAATTATCTTTAGTAAGCTTTTACTTGCATGTGATATTAATTAATGATGTGTTGTTGTTGTTATATGCCATCAAGTTGGCCCTGACTCATAGCATCCCCTCCTTGGGTTTCCAAGGTAGTATCACTACGGAAGTAGATTGCCCAGCCTTCCTTCCGAGGATTGGCTGGTGGATTTGAACCGCCAGCCTTCTGGTTAGCAGTCAAGTGCCTTAGGCACTACGCTACCAGAGCTCCTATTAATTAATGATATTGTTCAATAATTTCCACATTCTGTGGGATCACCTTTCATTGGAATGGGTACAAATTTGGATCTTTTCCAGTCAGTTGGCCAGGTAGCTATCTTCGAAATCTCTTTGCATAGCCGAGTGAGTGGTTTGGGTGCCAAGTTAAATTTTCTTGGAGGAAAAAAAATCTTTTGTTTCCTTTTCAAAAACAGCCTCCAGGAAGGTATGACCACAGAATACAGCCTTTCTTATCTCTTATTTGTTCCTGACTCCCTTTTTCTGGGAGGCTGGACAGGCAAGGTGATGAAAGGAAAGGAGGTAAAGAACAATACAATTAAATGGTAATGAGTCCCTGACTGAGAGGGTCCAGCTGCTCCTGTCAAAGAGGGGAAAATTTCCTGAGTCAAGAATATAATAGCCTGAGGCAAAAAATGCAACTAACACAAATGTTACTTTATGTCTAGCTCTGTCAGATACATGTTAACCAAAAAAAAAAAAGAAAAGAAAACCAAACCTAGGACCATCAAGTCAATTCCCATTCTTCTTATTGTTGTTGTTGTAATGTGCCATCAAGTCGGATCCAACTCATAGAGACCCCTTCTTGGGTTTCCCCACAAAGTGTCTTCTGTGTCACTACAGAAGTAGATTCCCCAGCCTTCCTTCCGAGGAGTGGCTGGTGGGTTTGAATCATCAGCCTTCTGGTTAGCAGTCAAGTGCCTTAGGCACTATGCTACCAGAGAACCACACCACAAAGTTTCCAAGGCATTCTGCCATGACTTTCTCCCATGGAGCTGCTGGTGGGTTTGAATCACTGACGCTCCACTTAGCAGCTGAGAGATTAATCACTATGCCACACACATACCCTAATTTCACAATTAAAGAATTCGAAGAATTGGGGTTTAGGTCACTTGCTTATCACACTTCTAAAAGCCAAGGGTAGCATCTGAGTATCTGATACCTGAACTTCAGTCCTTAAAAACTTTGGTTAGAGATAACAAGGGACACTAGTGAATAAGACATACTCTCACTATGAAAGTGCCAGTTATTACCTTAAAGTAACAACCATTAACTACAATACAGTATTATCTATCCACATGCTAACTGGAAGTCTGACATTTTGAATCTACCCAGAGGTGTGCTGAAGAAAGGCCTGGCAATCTACCTCAGAAAAATCAGTCATTGAAAACCCTACAGAGCCCAGTTCTACTCCGACATACATGAGGTGGTCATGAGTTGACTGGAAGGCAACTGGGAAAGTAAACTGTATAATTTTATTTAGCTATTCATATTTATATCATTACTAATTACACCTAGTAATCATTTAATACTTATTAAACTTCAGGCTTTTTACATTCATTGTCTCAATCCTCACAACTCTGTAAGGCACAGAGAGGTTAATTAAGTCGGCCAAATTTATATGGCCACTTGAAGCCCAGAGTCCATACTTTTTCTGTAATCTCATGGTGTCTTGGCTAACAGAGCCCTGAAAGGTGCCCAACAGGGGGCTGTGGAAGGTGCCAGTGGAGGAGATGGGGCGTGGCATCACAAGATTGAAATCTGAGACTATTTTTCCTCCAGGCAGACTGTTATTCATGGCCACTAAATTTTAATAAATGATTAACTCTGTAACTGTACATAAAGTACAATTTCAGGTAGAAAAGTCTTTTATGGTCTGACCAAGGAACAAATTATAGATTACAAAATGAGACTGGGGTCACAGTTATAAACAACTGACTTAGAAATAAGCTTTTGGAACACAGCTTACCTGCAGTTTGAGCACTGGGTTTTACAAGAGTGCTTTTATGTACTACTTATGCTGGGCTACAGCTTTTTGACAGGATTAACCAATACCAGTGATTGTTTCCCAGTTTACACCTCCTATCAATCTGTAGCTGTATTTTCAAAATGGCAGATCAAAATCCAGAGAAACCTGTTTTTCAGACATAGTTTAGAATGATTTGTAGGGCAGCTAAGTGAATGGGGCCTTCCTTCAACCATTAAGTTACCTATCATAACTTTTAGTGCAATCAAATTAAGCATATTTTGATCCCTTTCTGCAAAGAGGAAACTGGACAAAATATGTTTTCACTATTGATTTATATACCCAGAGCCACTGACATTTCATCTCTATCAAAGTAGTCTTGAAAATCTTCTAAAAATTCTAAAATGAAAAAAAAGAAAAAGAATCTACAACAAATATGAAACTCAAAAGTTAAGTCAATCACAACATAAAAATTAAAATACTAGGCTGTTTCCTCTTTCTTCCAAATGAGAAGTTTTTTCCACATTTCATCAAGTAAAGTTTCTAAATGCCTGGTATCTATCTATCTAGCATTTGACTTTTTTTCCCAATCATTATTGGAACCCACCCACCAACAGTTAATTGCACACATACATATATGTATATGCATATGTGTATATATGCATATACACAAGGAGTTCTGGTGGCTCAGTGGTTAAAGCATTCAGCTGCTAACCAAAAGATGACTGGTTGGAAAGCTCCACAGCAGAAAGATAAGGCAGTTTGCTTTCATAAAGATTAACAACAGCCTTGGAAACCCTACGGTGTAGTTCTACCCTGTCTTATAGAGTCTCTGTGTGGGTTTGCTTTGGGGGTATATGGGTAAGTATTTTTATAGAGAATAAAGAGAACTTCATGCCTAGTATCTCTTGGGACCTAGGGCACCCACTTTTAAGACAGCAGGTCACAGACTGATGCAGTTTGTTGTTTTTAGTCTCAAAGTGGGGAAAGGGAAGTCAGAGAGAAAAAGCCAGGGTCAATGGCATCTCATTAAACCTACACAGTATCAGAACCTCTGCAAATGAGATCCGGCAGCTGAATTTTCACAGGTTCCCAAGGTGATTCTTGTGCACATTAAAGTTCCAGATCAGCAAACACTACACAGGAGACTGGGGGTAAGGCTGCTAACCAGAAAGTTAGCGGTTCAAATCTACCAGCTGCTCTGTGGGAGGAAGATGAGGCAATCTACTTCCATACAGATTTACAGTCCTAGGAACCCAATAAGGATCATGAGCTGGAATCGACTCGAGAGCAGTTTTTTGGGGGGATTAACTATTAGGTCACTGACATTTTCAGGCTGATTTTTGACAAAAGACGCAAGAGGGATTCCAAAACCCAAAACCAAACTCACTGCCAGCGAGTCCATTAGACTCACAGCGACCCCTCCTTGGGTTTCCCAGTCGGTATCTCTACAGAAGTAGACTGCCCAATCTTCCTTCCCGGGATTTTGAACCATCAGCCTTCTGGTTAGCAGTCAAATGCCTTAGGCACTACGCTACCAGAGGGATTACTAACCTTTTATCCGTAAAGTATGGAGAGACTGGATACGACAGTGAATAATAAGAGGTCTGGGATTCTAGTCTTTGTTCTGTGTGTTGCGTGAAAGTACCGCACTGGGTCCCTTTCGTCTGCACAAGCAAAGGGTTGGACTTGCCTATCGCCGACACTCAAGGTTCCAAAGTCAGAAGCAAAGCTCAAGCATGACTGAAGATTTGCTCACCCCAGGTCGGCGGGCTCCCTGGTGTAGATTTGGTTCCTAAGAACGCGAGGACGGCTGGGCCGCAAGCGGAGTAAGCCCGTCAACCACCCTCACACAAGAGGGATTCCAAAACCAAAGGGATTCCACCACCAAGCCCTCGCGCACCCCTTCCACCTGCCCCAAAGCGCGCAGATACGAGGCTTCCCGGAGCGGAGATGCAGCCGCCATTACCCGTACGCGGCCACGGTGACAGGTCGGAGCCCAGGAACCAGGGGCTTCAGCGCCAAGAGCAACCGTACTCGCAGGAACGACCAATGACCCAGCACCGCTGCCATGCTCGCGCCTATGCCGGAAGTGCGCATGCGCAACCCTCCTGCCCACTGTAATCCCAGCGGCCGAGGTTTCCCACGGGGGCGCTGTGGATTGAGTTCCTAGCACTCTCAGAATCGACCGTCAGCCTCAGCCTGTATTTTGCCCTCAGAGCCTCCCCTCCCAAGTCAGCAAAGAGGTCTGAGGGCTGTACCAGTTTTTTACGTCCAGTTAATGACGGTGTAAAGAGGATTTGCTTTCATTGTTGACGGAATTTATTTAATCCTCCAGACTGTATGATGCAAGTTTTAACCATTAGCTACAGTGCAAGGCTCAAAAACTCACTGCCCTCCAGTCGACTCTTACTGAGCCCTCCTTGGTTTTCTGAGACGGTATCTCTACAGAAGTAGACTGCCCAATCTTCCTTCTGAGGAGTTTGAACCGCCAGCCTTCTGGTTAGTAGTCAAATGCCTCAGGCACTACACCACCAGTGCACCTAGTTCAAGGGTCAGTGGAGAAAAGAAGTAACTCTCCCTGTATGTAACTCTAACATTCTGCCTTACCTTAACTGGAAATAACTGGCAGATTTTAGCTCCTGTGGCAATCCTGGCTTCATTGATCAGAGATGAAAACAGCTTCTTTGCCTATTATTTTCCCCCCAAGAGAACCTTCCAGTGTAATACTCCCGTACCCACAGTGCTTTAAAAAGTGACATTGCCCAGGACTTCCGGTAAGATGGAGGAACAGGCAGACAGGTGACACAGACCCTTTTCAACAAAGAAAAGGAAAACCAATTGACAGAGATACAGAAGATAATCCTGGAATCCTGAGCTTTGAAAGGAACTATACAGAAGTGGATTAGGCACTAACTAGTGGAAAAACCGGGAGCTCTGGTAGCATAATGGCTAAGGCACTTGACTGCTAACCAGAAG